ACCAAGTGTCTCGAATAGCCTATGCTGAAGAAGCTAAACTCCCTGGCTTCGCGTGCTGGCGAAGGTGTTTCCCCTCAAAGTGAGAGGACGAAAAGCCGACATCCGGGGCTATAACCGAGTTGATGGATCACTGATAGTTCACCTACGGGAGTTGGCCAGAAACCCTGATTACGAACCAACCAACAGGAAATGTACGAACCACATTCACACCTTTCAGATTGTGGCAGTGGTCACCGGCTTGATTGGACATCGAGATGCATTGGACACCTGGGACTTTTGACCCGGTCCGAAAGGTGTATGATCCGATGAACTGGACACCGACTGGAATGAATTTGTCCCGTTGGCAACTCTACGAACAATGTTTCGATTCGCGATTCTCTTACTCTGCACACGGACAGTTTATTGCCATGATTTTGTATTAAACTGCTTACGGACGGGAAATTTGTCTCACCATTATTTTTTAATCATTTCATTCATGCCTCTTGACCGAATCCTCGTGGGATCAAGGTGGCCATTACACATTCATTATGTAATCGACCGATCCGAAAATTATGCATCTGTGCTCGCCATGGACTCGGCTGTCCTCCCCCCACCTCAGGACAACTCCGACACATTGATCCATGCTGAACAGTGTGAACAGGAAAGTCAACTCAACCACGTTCCACGATCCGCTTAGCTGTGAAACGTTCTGTGTGTGCGTATGTGATCAGATGGACAAACGGATATGTTGCATATTCAAGGATTGGTTTTCCAAATCGTCGGATTAAAATGAATCAATCCACTCCGAGCTCACTTAGGGATGAGATTGCAGAAAACTTTTTATAATGTCCGTGAAAATACGACTTGTGGATGGTCCTTACGATTTGTGAAATCTCGGGGGATTTACCGGCCATCCTATGCCTCATCGCACTCCACCTAATCATTGTCCCCACCTTTCTCTCTCTCTCGCTGGTCTGAGATTAACGATCGATTCTGCTCAACAGGATTGTTCTCCTTGAGTGAAAACTGTTGGGGCCAAATGGGTCTAAGATTAGGTGATCAGAGCCACGTTGTGCGTGTGGGTGTCAACAGTATATTTTAATCCTTTCACTTAGTGAATCACAAAAATACCGTATTATTGTTGTTGTTTTCCACTCACAGACACAACGAAGCACCGGGCGTGGAGGTGTGAACAAAAAAACATTTCGGTTCAACATATTCGTTTGTAATTTAGAAAATGTGGTACCCGGAACTCGTGTAAACAAAATTCACTTGCGCTTGTTGCTCTCGGATCTGATCTCGGTAACTGATCTGTGTGTGTATGGACGGTGCTAGCCCGGTGGTAACGTCACCAAATTATCACCCCGGAGGACGAGTGTTCGAATCCCACCACCACCACCACCACCGCCTGACCTGCCCTATTTGTGTGTTATATGGCAGCACTTTGATTGGCCGCTTCCCCCTTCCTGAAAATTGTATCTTATTATATCCAAAAGAAAATAGAACAGCTGGTAAGGTGATCATTGTGATCATTGTGGCCTATAGTTGGCGCTGAAATGAAAACGAAGATTGTGTTCAATTCTCACCAACTTCTTCGTTCACACGCCCCAAACGAGAGTTGACCGACCTCTCTAACAAAGCATCTTTCGCATCTTTCAGTATTCAACGCTGATTACTAGTCTCATTATCCAGTAGATTTGCGCTGTCTGTGAAGTAGTTAGCCTACTACGAGCATTAAAGATATACCATTCATGGTCCAGGGATAAAAAGTTCAGAGATTAATTGCCCCGCTGGGGGCTAAGTAGGCAAAAATGAATTACCAATTATATTTAGAACTTTAACATGATGAAGCTGACATAACTAAACTAAGTGAAACTGAAAGTGGTAACATTTTGTTGTTCAATTTCTTTTGGTTTGGTGAAAGCAATAATAATCCTTTTATCTGATCTCAATCTAGGTGGAAACGGAGCTTGAAGGAAAATCGATTTCTTACACTATTTTATCGATGGATCTTGTTCTGCTATCAGTAGTAGTTCGTGCTGGATTTTATTGATTCTGACCTAAAATAAGTACTCATT